CCTGGGACGGGGCCTCAGGACCATCCCAGTTAGTCCCTGGCTGGGGTACTGGGAAAGGACAGGCCCTGCCGTGGTGCTGCCCAGAGGCTGTGTGTGAGGCTGCCTTCAGAGCCTTCCTTCCTGTGCACCTCAGGCCTCTGCCTTCCTGCCCCAGGCAACATTCTTTAGCCTCCTCACCCTCTCCCTCTCTCCAGTTGTGTTTCGACTGAAACCTGGGCTCCCCTCTACCTCGCCCACCTCTGTCGCTCTTGTTGTCTGTGTTGGTCCTCACAGGCTGCCTTGCCCTTTCCTGAGCATCTGACTCTCTGCCACCTCATCCCTGAGCACAGTGCTGGCTCTGGTGAGGGAAAATCCCAGACCACAGAGTCAGGCCGCAGTCCCAGTGGCAGCGGGGCTCAGCGTGCTTACACAGGGATCCCAGAATTAGTGACTTCCTTCTGGGGTGGTACCAGAAGAAAAATCTTACATTTTTTATTTGTTACACATTGAAGAGCACGGTGGAAAAACCTGGGCTTGGAGTTGGATCTGAGTTCTGTTTCGTGTTTCCTGTGCGGCCCAAGCTGACTGCTCTGGCACCGATCTCCCCATCCGCAAGGTGGAGATAACGCTAAGCTCAGGACGGACACAGCTGGCTAAGTGGGAAGTCTCAGGCCTTGGAAAGTAGAGATTAGCGGGTTCTCCAGTACCTGCTACCAGTAGCCCTCAATGGATAGCCTTGTATTCTACCATTTGGGACAGCTTTAGGTCAAGCAGGCAGCTGTATGTGGGGAAGCTGTGGTTTGCTTCCTGAACTCAGCAGCTGCAGCGCACAAGGACACTTCCATGGAAGACTATTCGGTAGATGCTTTCCCCACCCAGGGCCCAGGGCTCTCTGTCTTCCCTACTGTCCTCTGGCCACTGCAACCCAAACCCACAGACAAAGAGCAGGGCGCATTCCCACCTTCTGAGGGCCAGACAGATGATCGGTGCTGGTCTGCTTGGCCTGGCCATTTAGCCAGCCTCCTCCCCTGCCTTTCTTCCTCTGTTTCAGTAGCTAAGCAGACATCTCACTGAAGTTCAGGGGTTCCCTCCCTAAAATAAAGGTTTCTCTTCACTTGGCCCCAGGAATTTGGTAGCCATTTCTCAATAGTTCTTTCACCACAAATCCTGTACCTCGTTCCCTCGAGTGCATATAAAACACAGCTCACAGCTGACCTAGCCACATGGACTTGGTGAAATGGAGCAGCGGCTCATTTCTGGATTGTAGGTTTGTCTATATCCTTGTTATAAGAAGCACAATGCTAGGGCTGGGGGGTTAGCTCAGTAGCGTAAGTGCCTACCTTGCAAGCAGGCCGTCGTGAGTTCGATCCCCAGTACCAATAAAAAGGAAAAAGGTTTAAAAAAAACACATTTGCTCATTTAATCCCTACTACAATCCTGGGAGGGAGTCACTTTATAATAAAAGAGGTCTTTAAATACAGATACAGAGAGAATGGAGGTGTAGACCAAGTGTATAGCTAAGTGTCTTCTCTTGCATAGCTGAATTCTCTTTGTTGCATATTCTCTGCTATCAGGTTAAGATTCTCAGATCCAGCTTAAAAAAAATTCTTAGTTTTATTTTCCTGTGGCTATTTGGGATTTGAACCTGCAATAGACTGAGTAACTCGTCATTTTTATGGACTGGAAAAGACTGTAAATCATGGTCCCTGATACACCAGCATTACTTATTTGCTGTTTGAATGTTTTATAATTCATTCATTCATCTTATTTTATCTCATGGCAGTTGTTCCTTAGCAACTATTTCAATTATCACTGGTTGGTTGAATTATCACATATTTGTTTATTTTTGATAGTTCATATTTTTGTAAATATAACTCTCTTGAGGTTTCCAACATTTCAGAATTTAAAAATTATCATCTGCATCCACTGTTATATCCCTCTGCAACTCTGTAGTAGTGGTTCACCCAATCTGACAAACTTGGATCAGAAAATATATGTAAGATAACTCAACTTAATCAGACCACAGATTTATACACAAATATAAGATTTCAGGGGGCTGGAGATTTAGCTCAGTGGCATAAGCGTCTGCCTTGCAAGCAGGCAGTCGTCATTTCAATCCCCGGTACCGATAAAAAGGGAAAAGACAAAAAAAAAAAAAAAAAAAAAGATTTCAGACTGCCATTTCAAAATGTCTTTTTTGGAGTGCAATATTATAAATGAAGAGTGTAATTTTTTTTTGTCTTTTTGAAATGTGGTTTCTCTCTGCAGTTCAGGCTGGCCTTGAACTCACTTTGTGGCTTCAAACTCACGGTGATCCTCCTGCCTCAGTCCCCTGAATGCTGGGATTACATGTGTGTGCCACCACATCAGCCTTACAATGTTACCAAATACAGTGTTTTGTGGACTGCTTTCCCCTTTTGACCTCTGTCCTTCAAATACCCCTCCCCTAATGTCAGCACCTCCATTTCCACTGAGCAGCCACATTCACACTGGTTGCTATCACACACTCAGTCCCTGTCTTCATGCTTTCCATATGGGCTCTGCTCGTGGGACGTGATTAAGACCAACTTTCGCTTAGGTTCAGTAATAACTCTTTGCTTGTAAGATTCTGCCATTGGTCTTTAAATAGCTCTCAATGTAACACAGACACACCATTTGCAACATTGGGCTGGAGTGGTTAGATTGTCTTAAAGCTCTGTCTCACACTAAGATAGACTAAATCATAAAACTGAGGACATGGGTCCTCCCACGAGTGTGCCATGTGTGAACCATGAACACAGAAGAGGCTCTGTGTCTACTCACATGAGAAGAAATGTGCAGCTAAGGTTGCTCCATCTGCACTGTATTCTCACCTAGAGTTTCAAGGACTCTCATCAAATTAGCTCACTATCCTACCTACTTTAATTGGCAGAAACATGAAAATTTCACCTTTGAGGCCAACTGCCCAGGTTTCATCTTTGCTTTCACTCCGAAACAGGTGTGGAATTACTTTACATGGTCTCGGCTTCACCTGTGGCTGTTGTGGGAGGCACCTATCGTTCATCAAAACAGGCAGAAAACCTGGGCAAGTGATGCCGTCTAAATACTGTTGAGGTTCCAGGGGAAACTGAAAGAAAGTTAAAATATCAAGGGCTTTTAAACTCACGAAAAATCAATTCACATCAACACTTTCCTACATTTCTTAGGCTGAATCAAAAAAGTTTTGTAATTATTAAATGCTGTAGTTAATATGGTAACTGTAAACATGGAAAGATGTATACTTGGACATAGTCGATTATGTAGCTTTGGATAGTTCTTTTGGAACTATCTTTTTGGAATTTTTAGGGTTTTTACTAAATTTATCATGTGATACTAAGTGAGCTAACGTAGTTCACTGAGAAAAAACCAATCTCACCCCTTCCTCCTGCTTCTGTCACTTTCTCTCATCAGTGGGGTAGAGAAATAGCTGGTGGTGCACCTGAGGGCAACTAGAGGTAGAGCTGCAGTCAAAGAAAGGACACTATGATGCAGAGAGTGACAGAATATAAGCCTGGATGTAATTTACTTCTAAATGTCCTAAGCGGTATCTCCCAATTACAGTGTCTTCACGAAAAGAAATACAAACCGAGGACTGTCAGCAAACTTCCAGAACCACAAAGGTATCACTGGACTCACGGTACCAGGAGGGAGGCCTTGGGTTCTGGTGGGGGTTGGACTGGACCTACCTTCAACTAACTAGATGACAGGGCCTTGGGCTCTGGTTCCTGACCCATCTAGCCGCGTGCACCGCCCCTTACAGGTATTCCCGCCCATCTGGCACTCACTAAAGGCACAGTCCCTGTGTGAGTCATCTAAGGTTTGGAACGATCGCATTTCCAAGGTAAAGAAAACTTTTGTCCTCGCAGTAGGATCGGGAAGCTGCGGCCAGGAGGCCGGCTGGGCTCTGCACTCTGGCCCACACCCGGGCCCCGTGGAGCCCCGTTCAGTCCACCCCACCGTTCCTCCCCGGCGTCCCCGCGGCCACTTCTAGTCAGTAAACGGCACGGCGCTCGCCTGGCCGCTTCTCAGCAGGATGGCCCCGCAGCCCGCCTGCCTCAGACTTCCCCTGGCCAGGCCCTCCCAGAGGCTGCCCCGGGGTAGGAGCTCCCCAGAGCCGCAGCGCAGCGCGGCCAGGCCTGGGGCGCACTTGGGTTGCGGAGAGGAAAACCGAGGAGAGATGAGCGAGGAATCCAGCGGGTTGCAGGCTCTGCCCCGCTCGGGCCCCGCCCCGACCCCGCCCCGGCCCCGCCCAGGCCCCGCCCCGGTCCCGCCCCGGTCCCGTCCATTTCCTCGCCCCACCCCACGCGGCCGAGGTTGTGGCGGATGCTCGCCTTCCGCCGGCAGGCCCCGCCCTCCGCCGGCAGGTCCCGCCTCACGCACACGGAGCCGGCTCCGACGCCACGTCCTCCAGGCCCCGCCTCCCAGGCCCCGCCCCGAGGCGCGGGCGGAGGGGGCGGGCGGACTTCGCGGTTGAGACCTCGCAAGGCAGCTGCCGCCGGGTTCTAGCCACCGTCCCGACCCGTGTCACCCCATCGCGGAGCCGGCGCTGCCGCCGCCTGTCGCCGCCAGCCATGGCCGCCAGCTGTCCCGCGGCCATCCCCGGCCCTGCGGCCCCCGCTCGCCGCTGAGCCACGCCGAGGAGGCCGGAGCCAGCGCGGACAAGCGCAGCCTGCGCCGCTATGTGGGGCCGCCCGCCGGCTGGGGAGCCGCGCGGGCCCGCGCCGGGTAAGCTCGGCGAGACGCGCCCGGGATTCTCCGGGCCGCCGGACTCGGGCCCCGCCAAGGTACCCTCAGGGCCCCGCCCGGCCTCCTTGGCCCGCAGGACCGCGGTTCGCGCCGCGTCGCCGGTGCGGAGGCCCGGCCTGCGCTGGGCCGCAGACAGTGATTTGCCAGCGCCGTAACGGAACCGAGCGCCCGTGCAGCCTCCGCCTGCCCGGCCGTCCTGCTGGGAGCGGACGGGCACCGGACCTCGGGCTCAGTCCTGGACCGTTCCGCGGTGACTGGACGGATACCGGGTTCCGGGCTCAGCCCCGGACCTCCTCGCGGGGACCGTAGGGGGGTATCAGGCTCCGGGCTCAGCCCGGGTTGTCTCGCGAGGACCTAATGGGCACTGGGCACTGGGCTCCCGGGAAGCCTCGGCCGCGTCCTTGCTGCCTAGACACCCTGGGGAAATCTCAGATCCTGCAGTTCTCTGGCCAGTGAGGGGAGTGTGGTGCGGCGTTTAAGGGGACAACGTTAAAAGTCGGACTTAGACCTGAGATTATTCTCTTGAGTTCAGATGTTGCTCTGTTGTGCAGATGGTAGCATTGTAGATGGGCACGAGGCTCGTGAGGAGCAATAGACTTGGTTTGCATTATTTGTGCTGAGGAGACAGCAGTTGAAGGCTCTGCTGCCTGCTGGACACCATGGGCTCTGCAGTCTGTGACCTCGGCCAGGAAGATGCTGGTCCCCAGGGGTTGCAGAGTGAGCCTGTCCATCATCGCACCCAGAGCCATCTGCGAGGTCTGCAGCCCCTCAGACCTAACCTGTCTCGATGAGGCAAGCGGGATGCGCACCACATGTTCCCATTGTTATTTAGAAGTGAAATAAGGGAAGCTTGAATGCTGTGTTGCAGTCTCTGCACGTTTGTTCTGGCATAGAGTGGTACGGAAGAGGACACCATAAATTACCCACACGAGAGATTTCGACCGTGTTTTTGCAAAAGCGTGTCTTAGTTTTGGCAGTGATAAATAATTGGTAATTTTTTTCAGCTATACGCTGAGAAAGGATCATTTTTATAACAATGATGTATTTGTTTTTTGTTTCCTTATTGTCATCTTGAGTACACAATTACTTGATATTATTTAAAATTAGCTTAAAAGTTATACCTTAGTGAACAGCTTGCTTGGTTTTTAAGAAATGAGAAGATAGTGAAAGTCAATATAGGGACGTCTCAGTCAACTTAGTTCTTTTTTATGAGAATTTGTAGTTTTGAAATACTGTTAGTATATCTTTTGACTGTTTTGAGCAGTTTTAGGCCTTACCTGAAAACAAAGGGAACAGGTCTTCTGAATCTATCAGCTATCCTTTGGACTCTGAGGACCATGTGAAAACAGTGTTAGACAAATCATTTCTGATATTAAAATGACTATGTCAGTATGTGAGTTAATCTAGGGATCTTTGGAGGGGTTTGTTTCTTATGCATATGGATAGACTAAAGGGGAACAAGAGGTGGGTAATAGAATGAGCTTTCTGAAACAGGGGAAACTTTATTTATTTATTTTTTTAAGGAAGTAGCTTTAAAAAAGGTAAATGGTTTGGGAAATATTGAACTTTTGCTCTCCGCTTTAGGATTTAGTTGTGTCATGGCTTTCTCCAGAGTTTTTTTAGCTTTATCTGTAACTATGTTGTAAAACACAACAGTATTTTCTTATTTTTCCATACAAAGATAAATGCTTCTCTCACTTTTTTGGGTGAAAATGGCTAGAAGGCTGATTTTAAACAGAACAAGGGATTTTGCTGATTTTAAATAGAATTTAAGGGATTTCTCTTTTGTGCATTTGAATGGATTCATTTAACATAACCTTGTGTTCAAAATGTATTCTAGCTTCAAAGAGGTGTGGAGGAGTGTATAAATCTACCACGCTATATTAATGTTTTGAATGTTTACCGACAGCTGGTTACACTAAATACTCCTCTTCACATTTTGGGGTAGAAGATATTTTCAGTGTATTGAAAGGACTGTTACAAGAAGCAGGTACAACATGAGCTAAAGTGTCATTCATTCATTGCTCCAAGCCTTGAGTCTGCTTCTTTGTGGTTGATGCACTGCTGTGGGTGTTGAATGATGTCATAATGATCGTGGCACTAACTGGTGGATTACTCCAGTAATAAGGTTGTCTGCTGCAGTTCTAAGATGGGCCCAGGTATACCATGGTAACAGTGTAGCATCACCAGCAAGAAGGAAGTGGAAGTGAATGTAGTAGGCATGGGGCCGCCAGCATGAGTCTCAATTTCAGTGATGACTTTTGTGAAATGAACTTGGAGAGCAGTTGGAATTTGATCACCTCTTGGCTTGAATGAAGCTGGTAAATTAATCTGAGGCCAGATGATATGTGGTGAGCTGATACTGTTACGATGTTGTGAATATTCCTGTAGGATAAGAAAAGAAAGGCGCTAGGGAATCAGGATTTTTCTGATGACTGGAAGAATTATGTGGACTCCCAAAACCAGTGAAGGTTCAAGGTCTCCTAGATAGTATTTCACTAAGTTTCAGAGCTTAATTAGTTCCCAAAAATTGTGCATTAAAGATAGGAGAATATGATCATTCAGGTAACTTTTAAACTCGAACCTAGTATTATTATATTTTCATACTTGAAATTATTATTTTAGATTATTGAAGCAGTGTTCTCAAAGGAGAGTTTATTGTGTCAGACCATTTACTTTAGGAATGGGAATGATTAGAACACAAGAACATAAAGAACGGGAATGAGGTTGGTCAGCCAGTTAGGTGTGGGAAGAGCAGACAGCAGGACAGGGCAGAGGATGGGCAGAGCACTTTGGGCCTTGTAGGAGGTCCTGTGGTGACTGGAGACGAAGGGAGGCATGCTCCAGCTCCGAGATGGAAGGGGCTGTGAGCAGGTGCGTGGAGGGGAAAGGCCGGGCACTAACACAGGCCAGGCATTGTGGGGAGAGGGTGTGCTCTGTATAAGAGAGGGAGCTGGCCATGAAAGGCAGGGGTGACTGGTCATTCGGTGTGTAGTGTCATCCTGTGACTGGGGAACACAGCAGACTTCTCTGTGGCTGTTGTTTGCCCAGCACTCTGCCTTCTGTGGAAGGTGGGGAGGGCCAAAAGTGGGGAGGGCCACAGTAGGGAGGCTGGGGAAGGTCTCTTCAGGTTACCAGCGGGGGGGAGGAGGGCAGTTTGGGGTACCTGTGGTGTCACTGCTGCCTGGAGGTGGCCTCTGAGTTTTGGCTCGGTAATTACTGTGGAAGAGCCGTTCCCTGAGCTGCAGTGAGGGGAATCGAGAGTTCTGCTTGGGCCACCTGGAGTGTCACCTCCTTTCGAGAGGCCCAGGTGGGATGTGGAGTGTGGAGCTGGAGGGACATCACTGGGGTGGGGGAGGCCCAACTGAAGAGATGCCTGTTCGGGAAGTGCTGAAAGTCAGGAGCTGGATGAGGCTGGCGGAGGGCACTGGGGAGGGTGCTGGAGCCTGAGGTGCAGCAGTGAGTCCGAGCAGGGTCCGGAGGGCAGCCGAGGCAGGCTGGTCACTAGTGCCTTGTCTTCGGGCAGTAAGAGGATGAGGAGGAGATGGAGCTGTGCTGCTTGCTGGCCCCATAAGGGCAGAGCTGGAGTGAGTGCTCCTGACTGCAGGACCCATGAGGGCTGCCTGACCTTTCCCACCTGCCACAGCACAGGTGACCCAGGGAGGTGTCCTGGACGGCAGGCCTCAGGTTCCTGGACACCCCATGTGGTGTGTGCCCACATGCAGCACATGCTGAGGTGTGCTCTTGTTAACCACCTCCTGGGCCGAGAGTCTGTCTACGTTTGTATTTGCTTCCTCTCACCTGTGATAAATTAAGATTTTGCTAGTGCTAAATTAAGTCCCTAGGACTTACAGACTCAGCTCAGAAACTGTTCTCTTCTTTGCATAGGTGTCCACTGAGTAACATTTATTGCTTTATTGATGCCTCTCTGAAAAAATGCTGCTCAGGACTATTGGAAGTTCAAGGCCAGGCTGATTGATTTGGTCTTGCGACTCTTAGAAAGTCTGGGGATGTAGCTCCGCTATAGAGTGCTTGTCTTGCTAGTGAGGCTTGGGGCCCAATTCCCAGCACTAGGGACAGAAAACCTTTTTCATATTAAAGTTCAGAGTTCTAAAATGAACCGCACTGTTTAGTTCTTGTTAGGAAGAGAGTGGGGGAAGCTTTTGACCACGTGTTTCCTGTTGGGTATGCAGTGTATGCAGAGGCAGAGCTTGCAGACCTAGACACCTTAAGAAATTGTGGTTTTGTTAGACATTTCTGAAGCTTTTTTGAAGCTTTCTTACTAATAGCTTTCCTTCTCATTTTTTCAATAATGTACTAAAAAGTTTGAGTTGAAATTGTTTTAATTTGGGATTTAAAAAACTCCAGACAGAGATTTTTGTCAATACGACTTAGAACTATTTAAGACCAAGATGTGTTTCAGCTTTGCATTTAAATTTATTGGACAAAGTGTCAGAAAAATAAAAGTTTTATCCAGGAATAATTATCCTGCTCTGCTTCCTTTGGAAGTCAGTGGCTACATCAATTAAAGTAGCATTTGTAGCATGGGTCAGTGGTAACAATTTTGTTATTTAGGAAAATTCATCTTGATAGGGGTGTTTCTTCTAGTTGGCGTCTTAGTTTTGGAATATTATCCAGAAGAATATTTTATCTATTAGGCAATATTATGAAAAAGTTACATGCCATGTGGAAGGTAAAACCCTCTGGAATATTCCCTTACCATTGTAGTAGTTATATTAACAATCTCAGTAGTTTTTACGTCATTTTAAGAGTTTCTTAAACAGAAAGGCTTACAAAATTAAATATATGTTTCTTATTCAAATAGCTGCCAGAATGCTTGTTTGAATTTGCTTCGTGTTAGAGGATAGGTGCCTGTGCCCTGCCCCACACTGAAATCAGTGGATGCATCATTTTTCATAGATGGAAATAATCTTACCTGTGTTGGTTGATCCCCTACCACCTAGAGTCCTTTCATCTGAAAAGCCCTTGGTGGATATTTACTTGTTTGAATTCATACTTTGTGGAAGTCAGAGTAATTCATTCACCTGATCATTCTTTTTCTTTCTTTTTTGGTGGTACTGGGGATTGAACTCATGACCTTGCGCTTGCCAGGCAGGTGCTTTTACCGCTGAGCTACCTCCCCAGCCCTGATCATTCTTCTTAATTGAAGTAATTTTAACCATAATCCTAAACCAATCAGGAATAAGAAAATTCCAAGTCATATTGAAAGAACCTATTTTTATTCTTTTAGTGGTCATACTGTAAAAGTTATTTGTAGTGGTTAGTAAAAAGAGCTTTCCAATTTCTTTCTTACATTTTACTTATTTAAATTTTGTTTTTTAAGTTGGAAAATAATTGTATAAATTTATAGGGCACAGTGTGATGTTTTGATCATTATTCATTGTAAAGATCAATTCTAACATATTTGTTATCTCTCCAACTTATTTTTTGTGTGTTAGGAGAAAGTTAGGAATCTATTTTAGCGATTTCTAAACATTAACCATGGCCACTGTGAAGTACTAGATCTAGATCACTAAAACTTACTCCTTCCATTTAACAAACCTTATGCCTTTGGCCGACTTCTTTTTCCATCTTTTATATTTAGAGTTACCTCTACTGGTTACTTAAAAATCTGAGTAAAGTCAGTGTGAGGGTGCACAACTATAATCCCAGCGCTTGGGAAATTTGCAGTGAGTTCGAGGCCAACCTGAACTACATAGTGAGACCCTGTCTCAAAAAAAAAAAAAAAATTGCATTAAATCCTTAAATGTGGGAAAATGCATTTATTTACACTGAGCTTGATTTTATTTTTTCTGCCTAACTAGTGTTTGTAAGCAGGTCTCTCTAGTTTAAGGTGCTAGCCTCATGTTAAGTGGGTGGAGCCATCTTAAGGACTACTTGACTTTCATTCTCAGTCTTAGAACTTGATCCTGTTTTATTCTTACTTTCCTGTGACCTAGAATTTCACCTCTAGTTAAACCCAGCGTCTCATGTCTGAGTGGATCTCTAGCTCTCTATGGACTGGAGGAACACAGCTCTCAGTCTCCTCCCCTCTCCGGCTGTAGTTGACTTTTCCTAGATGCGTTCTGCTGTCTAGTAAGAGGGGCAGGCATGGAGTGTTGGGCGAGTACAGAGACCAGTGGATTCCTTGCTTTGAACATGGGTAGCCACCACTAAAGCTTGAGCTGAATGTTCCTGTTGTGTGCAAGCAAAAGTGGTCATAGCTTAGCAAATTTTAGATGTGCTTTAAAGTGTTTTAACACTTGTGATGAGATCTGACTGATCATATTATTCTTGGTGTCGTTTAATTGACATTGAGTTTTTTTAGTCATGCATATACAAGAGATCTTCATTTTTTTTACTTTTCAAAGTATATTAATCATCTGTTGAGAGCTTTATTGTAAAAGTATCATATTTACTGTCAGTGGAACGCATTGTTGCTTTTTAAAATGAAAATGCCAAGTGGAAAATTACTATCAGATCTGAGCCTCTTTTTTTTTTTTAACTTTAGGGAATAATGCATGAAGGGATCAGCTTGGCTACTTTTTTGTTTACTTGTATTTTCAGTATTTTGGGTTTTTAGTTTTGGGTGATTTCTTTGCAGAAATACTTTTAAGTCCACTGTTTCAGTTGGGATAAAACCATACCAAATAATACATGAGTCTGCTTCACTGGGCGCAAGCACAGCGGTGGTGGCCCACAGGTGTCCAGTTACTGGAGGACGGCACTGTGAGCTCCCAGTGAGACATGCTCCCCCTTACTCAGTTTCCGTGAGGGTAACACGATGCTCTGATCACCCACGTGTCATGTGGCCTGTGGATGTCCAGGCCAAAAAGGCCTGGGTGGTCATTCTTATGGTAAACGCTGGTGAAAGTGCACTACTTTTTCTGAAAATCATGACCTCTCATGCTTTCTCCTGGTGGCCTGGGGGGATTCCTGTGTGTACCCCGCTGCGGGGTCTGAGGAGTGGGCAGCTGTGTGTGCATGGGACGTTGTGTGCCCATCGGTGCCCAGGTGTCTGAGACGGGTGCTACATCCTGGCTGGGCTCTGCGGCTGGGCTGACTGTGAGTGGGAGGCTGTGAGGTGGGTTAGCCAGGCACTGGGACAGGGTGTGGCTCAGGTGGCACTGGCAGGGAGGAGGCTGCTGTGCACACAGACACCAGCAGAAGAGGTCAGTTACGTAGTGTTTGTTAGATGGTTTCCCTCTTTCAGTATCGAACATATGTGTGTATATGCTTAGTAAAACATTTCCTTCTGTACTTACAGGCCGAAAGTGAGTGCGAGCCTTTCCCACTTCTTGCAAGTCATCTGCAGTTTTTTTTTTTAAAAACAGCTTTTAGTTATTGTTCT